CCGAGAGGTGAAGGGCCTGCTGCCGGGCAGGAGCTGTGGGCCTCTGAGGGGTCAGCTGCCGGCCACCGCCACCCCGGCCAAGGCCAAGCCTCGCCGTTCCCTCACCCCCAGGCGCCTGCAAGCCAGGGTCACGTCCTGACCAGCCTCTGTGGCCACCCAGCCACGCCTCTCCCCCTGGGGCCACAGCCACAGCCCTCACAGGCAGGTGACCCTCCGATGCTCTGCCCGCGCCCGCCTGGAGTCCACCCCGCCCTTGCAGACTGGCCTCGCCGCAGGGGCCCTGGGAGGGAAAGCCCCTGTCTGGGCCCCAGAACTTGGCAAAGCCTGGCCGGCACAGGGGAGGACGAGGGACAGGCGGGTGCCAGCAGGGGTGCCCAGGGCGCACTGGGGGGAGGGGCTGGACCTCCCGGGGCTGCAGGGTGTCGGCTGGATTCTGGCGGCACCTCCCCTGGTGGCCAGGAGGGCGGGGGCCTGCTGGCCAGTCTTCAGGAAAGACACCTGTGGAGGACAGGGGCAGGCGAGACCCGAGGGGCCTGGCTCTGGGCGGAGAAGGCCGGTGGCCGCACAGCTCGGGACCTGGGGCCTTTTCTCCAGCTGGCGCTCAGCTAGGCTGGTTCCCCGGGGCGGGCCGCGGACCCCGCCCTGCCTGCAGATGGGGGCGTGAGTCCATCGGATGGACAGCCGCCTGTCTGGGGTGCGGACCATCCCTCCGGGGACGCCCAAGTCCCCTCTGGGCGCAGTGCTCCGGGCCGCTCTTCACCCCGAATGGGCTCTGTCAGGCCACCCCGTGTGCAACGGGTGGACAGCGCAGGAGGCCGAGTGGGAGGATGGACCGGCCGCCACTTGTCCTGGCTCGGGAGGGGCAGCCACCGAAAGCCTGAGCAACAGGGCAACGGCAGCGCAGGCCCGGGCCCAGCGCCGGTCAGGCCCGCCAGAGGACCGGCCAGTCTGTGGGTCTCAGGGCGCAGCCAAGAGGCCTCCGGCTCCGCACCCGCTTCGCAGCTGGAGGGGGGCTCGGCCC